AAAAAAAAAAAAAAAAAGGAAGCTTAGAGCTGATAGTGCGACACACACCCTTTTCCTCTTTTTTTTTTTTTCTGTTTGTATTCGACATAGGTGACTGTCTGAACTGAGCCATCTTTGTGGGCACCATACAGGAATAAATTCACCCAGCCACACCAGTACGCGAACAAGATGTGCCGGTTAACACCCTGGCACCAAGTCCCACTAACAGCGTTGAGTTTCCTCAACGCCTGAATCTGGACGTGTTTGTGGAGATGTGCAGAAATTGCGTTGAGTTTCCTCAACAGCACGTAGCCACAAACTCAACCGCACATAGCCACAAACTCAACCGCACGTAGCCACAAACACGTCCAGATTCGGGCGTTGAGTAAACTCTACGCTTCCAGAGGGACTTGGCCCCCGGTCTTGCATGTATGTACAGGCCTGCCAGCACCCAGTCAAATTCGAATGTGTTGAGAAGCCCCACAGACGATGAAGGAGGGGTCTCAAGTATTCCTGATGGTTAAAGGAACAATCTTTTTTTTTTTTTTTTTTTTTTTCACTTCAACGAACTCTTCTCTCTCTCTCTCTCTCTCTCTCTCTCTCTCTCTCTCTCTCTCTCTCTCTCTCTCTCTCTCTCTCTCTCTCTCTCTCTCTCTGTGTTTTGATTTGAAGCTGATAGCCAACATTGTTCGTTCGTTTGGATCTGATGGTCGTGTGGCCTGTGAACTGGATGTTTGGCCGACTCGGACTGCAGGGCTTCAAATTATTAAGCGGAATACGCAGTACGTCCCATATGTGAATGCTTTCGCCGGCTCTGCACAATGTGTTTTGTATCTCAACACCTCAAAGATGCTCGTCACGGCATTCAGAGAGTCCGGAATTGTCATATTCAACACTGCTGATCCCGCTGTCCCAGCCGCATCCTATTTCATCGATCCTTCGACGTACAGCTACGCCAACATTTCATCTTGCATCCTCGATCCGGGACGCAACAAGATGCACTTCCTTGCACAAAACTCCTCGACCATGATCGTAAGTTCCCTCCCTCCTCCCTCCTCCCTCATCCCTCCTCCCTCCTCCCTCCTCCCTCCTCCCTCCCAACCCTTCCCTGCTCCTCATCCTTTCTTTTTTTCTTTTTTTCTTTTTTTCTTTTTTCTTTTTGGCTCGTGGTCCTGTACACCGACGCACACATCCCTCCTTCCTCACTTTCCTTTCTCATTTTCCCTCTCCGGACCCCTTCCTCCATTTCCTATCCTCCGCCCCCGGCCCCCTGCTCTTTCACCCTCCTCCCCCTCTTTCAAGTTCCCCTTCCTGCCCTCTTTCCCCCTCCGTCCCCCTCTTCTTTTCCCCAACCTGGTCCACAATTAGCATGGCCCCTGCGCAAGGATGACAGACGTAAAATTTAACTGAGAAATGGTTTAAATTTATTATTTTATGTTTTTCGGGAAAAGGCGGCCACCCATAAACGATACCCGGAACCACACCAAGCCAACCTGCGGCCAGCCGCGGACAAATGAATGCGCATATCTAAAAAAACTACCAGTCCACCGGAGCCTCTTTTTGCCAACCTGAATTTGTGCAATGCCCCCCGAAAAAACACGAGCCAGATCAGGCGTGAAATTGTCTCTTTTTTTCTGCCTGGTGCCACCAGCCTTTTCCGCCCGGTAGGCCTAGCTCCCATGTCCCAACTATGCAGCGGGTTAACCACACTGCGTAGGAACGAAAATAGCTGGGAAAGGGACCAATGAATGGTTCAATTAAAGGGACCAATGGTTTAAAATTTAAATGCTTGGTTATAACTGAATGTGCAGTACCACCCACTGGTACCCTTGCAGTGAAAGGTCCACTATTATGATATTCGGGCCTCACTCCACTACACAGCATACTAAATGTCAGTCAATAGCAGTTTGGCTTATCTGCATCACTGTTCTGGTGTGCTACAGAGCTCGGAGGCAATTGTGCTGTTGCATACTATAGACACTTGCCACTGGTCGCAAACCACACACACACACACACACACACACACACACACACACACACACACACACACACATGTGCATAAAGTCAAGCACTTTTCTCAGGGGCATCGCTAACTCTGAGCGACATGGTGAGTCCTTAACCATCAGTCAAATGCATTCTGGGCAGACTGTCGAGATTCAACCTCCTGATGAGCCGGTGAAAGTCCAACAAAACAGTCTAGTCAGTCTGTACACAAGTCAGCTTTTCTTTGTGGACTTGTGTATAGCGAACAATGTCATGACAACACACACACACACACACACACACACACACACACACACACACA